GGGAGGTTTTGACACTTCACAGCAAACACACAAGGACTAGATTTCAGGTCGAAGCAGCAGCTGGGAACATCTGGTTGCAAAATCCACTGTTTTTGGGGTTAACATAATTTTCAACCTTAATAATAATAATAATAATAAAGTTGGAAGGGACCTTGGAGGTCTTCTAGTCCAACCCCCTGCTCAGGCAGGAAGTCCTACACCATTTCAGACAAAGGGCTGTCCAGTCTCTTCTTAAAAACTTCCAGTGTTGGAGCATTCACCGCTTCTGGAGGCAGGTTGTTCCACTGGTTAATTGTTCTAACTCAGTGGTTCTCAACCTGTGGGTTGGGACCCCATTTGGGGTCGATCGACCATTTCACGGGGGTCGCCAAGCAAGGCTGTCCGCCATTTTTTCCCTCTTTTCCGGCGGGTGCCTTACCTCCCTTGGGCTGGGCCAGCTGGTGGTCGGCCTGCTCCGTCTCTGCCGCTTGCCAGCTACGCCTCGGCCGGCGCAGGGGGCGGAACCAGGCATGTGCGGCACTCCCGGGCAGGGAAAGTCCTCGACTTACGACCGGTTGGGTAGTCCTCAACTTACGACCGGTTTAGTCCTCGACTTACGACCGGTTTAGTCCTCGACTTACGACCGGTTTAGTCCTCGACTTACGACCGGTTGGGGTCGCGGCATTAAAAAGGTTGAGAACCACTGTTCTAACTGTCAGGAAGTTTCTCCTTAATTCCAGGTTGCTTCTCTCCTGGATTAATTTTCATCAAACAAACCGGTTAGGTTCACCTCCCCGGTATCGTAAGCTAACCAAGCCAATTCTTCCTGTTGCACAAATGAAACCGCAGTGCCTTTCACAAACCTGGTCAACATTTAGGGTGCACACAGCCCAGAGACATATCAGCACACAAATGGCATTGTGTGATACGATGCGTGGGACACTACCGGTCGTCCTCGACTTAACGGCCACAACTGGGACTAGAATTTTCATCGTTAAGCCAGGCGGCTGTTAAGTGAGACCAATTTTGGCCACGGACGTTAAGCGAATCACTGCAATCGATAAGTGGGTCGTGCAGTCGCTAAGCGAATCCGGCCTCGTTGGAGGCCAGCTGCGAAGGTCGTAAATGGGGATCGCCAGCGTCACAAATACACACCGTGGGGTCATCAGCGGGAGACCCGGCCGTACGTCATTTTTTTTTCAGCCCCTGTTGCGACTTTGCCCGGCCGCTGAACCAACGGCCGTAAGACGAGGACTTTTATATAACGGTTTCTGTCTCCTCCAGAGTGAGGCCAACCGAAGCACGGAACGCAAAACACAAACACACACCTGTGGTTTGCAGCCTGAGCGAGCAGTGGATTTTCCCTTCCAGCCCGAAACGGAAACAGGAAGGTGGCGGACGGGAATTACCATCTTAACGAAAACGACTTCACCGATGCAGAAAAAATAATAATTTAAACCTCCACTTGGCCCCGTTCCACCTCCTGCCCTTTTAATCTTCGTTTTGAGAGTGAGGATTTTGTAAACAGGCCCTCCTGGTTGTGCTGATTCATGAAGGTTAGCCGTTGAAATGTCAGTTCCTCTCTCCGTTAGCCGAGAGGAAACATCGGTGGGAAAACAAAATATCCTATTTATTGAACTGTCCGTCCCTTTGCTCCGACGGATCCGAATTCATTCTTTCCTTTGCAGAATGATTAGATTGGGGAAAGAGTGCAGAGAAGAGCAACAAAGATGATTAGGGGGCTGGAGGCTAAAACATAAGGAACGGTTGCTGGAATTGGGTATGTCTAGTTTAACGAAGAGAAGGACGAGGGGGGACAGGATAGCAGCCTTCCAGTATCTCAGGGGCTGCCCCAAAGAAGAGGGAGTCAAGCTTTTCTCCAAAGCGCCTGAAGGCAGGACAAGAAGCAACGGATGGAAACTCATCAAGGGGAGAAACAACCGAGAACTAAGGAGAAATTTTAGGCAGGAAAAACCAAATGTACAGGTATGGGATAGGGGGTATCTTGCTCAATAGTAGTAACTGTGAAATGGATCTTGGAGTCCTAGTGGACAATCCCTTAAATAGGAGCCAGCCGTGTGCTGCAGCTGCCAAAAAAGCCAACACAGTGCTGGGCTGCATTAACAGAGGGAGAGAATCAAGATCACGTGAAGTGTTAATACCACTTTACAAGGCCTTGGTAAGGCCACACTTGGAATACTGCATCCAGTTTTGGTCACGCTGTAAAAAAGAGGTTGAGACTCTAGAAAAAGTACAGAGAAGAGCAACAAGGATGATCAGGGGGCTGGAGGCTAAAACATATAAGGAAAGGCTGCTGGAATTGGGCATGTCTAGTTTAATGAAGAGAAGGACCAGGGGTGACAGGATAGCAGTCTTCCAATATCTCAGGGGCTGCCCCAAAGAAGAGGGAGTCAAGCTATTCTCCAAAGCCCCTGAAGGCAGGACAAGAAGCAATGGATGGAAACTAATCAAGGAGAGAAGCAACCTGGAACTAAGGAGAAACTTCCTGACAGTCAGAACAATTAACCAGCGGAACAACCTGCCTCCAGAAGCGGTGAATGCTCCAACACTGGAAGTTTTTAAGAAGAGACTGGACAGCCATTTGTCTGAAATGGTGTAGGGTTTCCTTCCTGAGCAGGGGGTTGGACTGGCTGAGCTCCAAGGTCCCTTCCAATTTATTATTATTATTAAGTACGTTCCTGACAATGAGAACAGTTAGTTAGTGTAATTACCTCCAGAATAGAATAGAAGAGTTGTGGAAGGAACCTTGGAGGTCTTCTAGTCCAACCCCTCACCCAAGCAGGAGATTCTACACCATTTCTGACAGATGGCAGTCCAGTCTCTTCTTGAAAACCTCCAGTGATGAAGCTTCTGAAGTTGAGGCTGCTCCAACGCTGGAGGTTTTTAAGAAGAGATTGGACAACCATTTGTCTGAAATGGTATATAGGGTCTCCTGCTTGAGCAGGGGGTTGGACTAGAAGTCCTCCAAGGTCCCTTCCAACTCTGTTATTCTGTTAACAGCTGCAGGAATAAAGCATGTCTAGTCTATTGAAAAGAAGGACCAGCAGTCTTCCAGTATTTGAGGGGCTGCCATAAAGAGGAGGGGGGGTCACCTTATCTTCCAAAGCCACAGATGGAAACTCATCAAGAAGAGAAGCAACCTGGAATTAAGGAGAAACTTCTTAACAATGAGGACAATTAACCAGTGGAACAGCTTGCCACCAGAGGTTGTTGGTGATTCACTACTGGAGCATTTAAAGAAGAGACTGGACAACCATTTATTTGAAATGCTATAGGTCAGGGGTAGGCCACCTTGGCTCTTTTATGACTGTGGACTTCAACTCCCAGAATTCCTGAGCCAGCCATTCTGAGGGGAAAGGGAGAGGTTTTCAAGTTGAGCCATGCTGGCTCAGGAATTCTGGGAGTTGAAGTCCACGAGTCATAAAAGAGCCAAGGTTGCCTACCCTTGGTATAGGGTTTCCTGCCTGAGCAGGGGGTTGGACTAGAAGACCTCCAAGGTACCTTCCAACTCGTTATTCTGTTCTATTCTGAAACACTTCAGACATGCCTTTGTGGACCAAACATAAATGTCCGTGAATACTCATCTATGGTATTTCAGATAGTCCTCGACTTACAACCAGCCACTTAGCAATCGTGTGAAGTTATGACAGTCCCTCCCAAAAGCTACAGGCAGTCCTCCACTTATGACCGAAAGCGAGCCCCAGGTTTCTGAGCAGGGGGTTGGACTAGATGACCTCCAAGGTCCCTTCCAACTTTATCATTATTATTTGTCAAATGAGTTTTGCCCCATTTTGCAACCTTTCTTGGCGCAGTTGTTAAACGAATCGCTACAGTTGGGTAAGTCCGTAACGGGATTGTTAAGTCTGGCTTCCTCGCTGGTTTTGTTTGTCAGAAGGTCGCCAAAGGGGATCACGTGACCCGTGATCAACCGTCATAAGTATGAATCGGTTGCCGAGCGTCTGAATTTTGATCACGTGACCACAGGGAGGCTGCAACGGTTGTATGTGTGAAAAAGGGTCATAAGTCCCTTTTTTCAGTGCTGTTGTAACTTCAAATGGTAACTAAACGAACTATTGTAAGTCATAGACTACCTCTAGTTAACAGAATAACAGAATACTTACCACCTGGTTTCAAAGTTGCGGCCTCTGCAGTGTTCCTGCAGTTGTCCACCCTTATGACTGACCACAAGGACACTCTCCCTGCCCACCTGTCTCCCCCATCCAGCCCACTCAGCATAGCTTGAGAATAGAGTAGAGTAGAATAGAATAGAATAATATTAGAAAAGAATAGAATAGAATAATATTAGAATAGAATAATAGAATAGAAATTAGAATAGAAATTAGAATAGAATAGAATAGAATAGAAAATAGAATAGAATAGAAAATAGAGCAGAAAATAGAATACAATAGAAAGAATAGAATAGAATAGAATAGAATAGAATACAGCTGGAAGGGACCGTGGAGGTCTTCTAGTCCAGCCCCCTGCTCAAGCAGGAGAACCTATGCCATCTCAGACAAGTGACTGTCTAGCCCAGGGGTAGGCAACCTTGGCTCTTTTATGACTCCTGGACTTCAACTCCCAGAATTTCTGAGCCACCCATGCTGGCTCAGGAATTCTGGGAGTTGAAGTTCATAAGTCATAAAAGAGCCAAGGTTGCCTACTTCTGGTCTAGCCTCTTCTTAAAAACCTCCAGTGATAGAGCACCCACGATTTCTGGTGGCAAGCTGTTCCACTGGTTGATTGTTCTCGCTGTTAGGAAGTTTCTCCTTAAATCAGGTTGCTTCTCTCTTTGGTCAGTTTCCATCCATTGTTTCTTGTCCTGCCTTTGGGTGCTTTGGAGAATAATTTGACACCCCCCCCCCCTCTTCTTGGTGGCAGCCCCTCAAATCCTGGAATTCTGGGAGCTGAAGCCCACAAAGGCTGGCTGAGGAATTCTGGGAGTTGAAGTCCACAAGTCTTAAAAGTTGCCAAGTCTGGAGAGCCCGGTGTGAGAAAATCACCCGCTACTTACGGACCTGTTTGGCAACGCGTTTCCGCTGTCTTGGGAAGAACCGGGAGAGTGGAGAATCAGAACTTCAGCAACCGACTGGACCTCCGGGTCAGCTCCAAGATGCCTCAAAGATCTTCCGGAAGCTTCGCTTTCAACTGTCATTTTTTGGGGGGGGAACAATGGACATTTTAAAATATGTTGTGTATTTTTCTTATTGAGATACTCATGCCTGTCCTTGAGGTTTAATCCTAAGACTTACAAACTCAGCGTCTCCGAAGTAGAGCACTGCAAACATGGTTAAAATCTTAACCGTCGTTAACTCCGATAAACGTATGCATTACAGGGAGTCCTCGGTTTACGACTAGAACGGGGACCAGGATTTCCGTCGCTAAGGGAGGCAGGCGTTAAAGGGAGTCACACGGCTGATTTAGGCCAGATTTGATTAACGAGTCACTTGCAGTCGTTAAGAAAGTCGCCCCTGATCTTACGGCCTTTTGGCCACGTTTGATGAGTGGGTCGCTGCGGTCGTTAAATGAATCAGGCGGCTGTTAAGCAAGTCAGGCATCCCCTGTTGGCTTTGCTTGTCGGAAGCCAATTGAGAAGGTTGCATGGCAACCGTCATAAATACATACTAGTTGCCGAACGCCCCAGTTCTGATCGTGTGACCGTGGATGCAGCTGCAACGGTCGTAAGTACGAGGACGGGCTCTACGTCACTTTTCTCAGGGCTGCTATAACTTCGAACAGCTGCTAAATAAAGAGTTGTAAGTTGAGGACTACGTTACGACAAGTAGGAGCCACAATCTATGAGGACGCAGCCATTTTTCCTTGGCTGTGAAGCCGTTAATATCTAGTGCAGTTCTAGGCTCTTGCTTAAACTACACAGGCGGTCCTCGACATACGACCGCAACGGAGCCCAAAATTTCTGTTGTTAAGCGAGACATTTGTTAAGTGAGTTTTGCCCCATTTTACGACCTTTCCCCTCCCCCCCGCAGCGGTTAAGTGAATCGCTGTAGTTGATAAGGTAGTAACCTGGTTGTTAAGTGAAAATGGCTTCCCCATTGAGTTTGCTTGTCAGAAGGTGGCAAAAGGGTGATCACGTGACCTTGAGACACAGCAACGGTCGTAAGTACGAACCAGCTGCCAAACATCTCCTCCAGAAGCTGTGAAGTTTTTAGAGCCACAGAAGCTCTAATGCGGTCGTAAGTGGAGGACTGCCTGTACTAAATCTGCTATAACCCTCTGGAACATCCCCTCCCCTGAGGTGAGAATCTCATTTTTGTTAGCCTTGCAGAAAACTTTGCAAATGTTTCTTTCATCAACCCCGAGATCTATGGCGAGCTGACTTAGGCTCGCTCATTCATTCATTCATTCATTCATTCATTCATTCATTCATTCATTCATTCAATTTCTATAGCCGGCCATTTCTGTCAGTGACTTTGAGCAGATTCCCATTTTAAAAAAAAGAAAAAAGGCTATCCTCTTGCTAACTTTAGGATTGTTTTACGTTTTTATTCCTTTCTGCTTTTATTTCTGTTCTTACCGATGTGTAATGTTTTTCTGTCGTTGAGTGGGTTTTGTTTATTTTGCTTGGAAGCTGCCCAGAGTCCCTTTTTGTGACACAGACCCTTGTGTACATTTAGAAAATAAAATATAAAATAAAATAAAATAAAATAAAATAGAATAATAAAATAAAATAAAATAAAATAAATAAAATAATAATAAAATAATAAAATAAAATAATAAAAAAATAAAATAAAATAAAAAATAAAATAAAATAATAAAATAAAATAAAATAAAATAAAATAATAAAATAAAATAATAAAATAAAATAATAAAATAAAATAATAAAATAATAAAATAAAATAATAAAATAAAATAAAATAATAAAATAAATAAAATAAAATAAATAATAAAATAAATAAAATAAAATAAATAATAAAATAAAATAAAATAAACAGAAGAACGAGGGGGAGACATGATAGCAACTTTCCAATCTCTCAGGGGCTGCCCCAAAGAAGAGGGAGTCAAGCTATTTTCCAAAGCGCCTGAAGGCAGGACAAGAAGCAACGGATGGAAACTAATCAAGGAGAGAAGCAACCTAGAACTAAGGAGAAACATCCTGACAGTTAGAACAATTAACCAGTGGAACTACCTGCCTCCAGAAGCGGTGAATGCTCCAACACTGGAAGTTTTTAAGAAGAGACTGGCCAGCCATTTGTCCGAAATGGTATAGGGTTTCCTGCCTGAGCAGGGGGTTGGACTAGATGACCTCTAAGGTCCCTTCCAATTTTATTAGTATTATTATTAAATAAAATAAAATAAGATAAAATAAGACAAAATAAAAATAAAGTAAAATAAATAAAAAACAAAATAAAAACGTAAAATTAAAATTAAAAAACAAAAACAAAATAATAAAATAAAAAATAAGTAATTAAATAAATGCACATCAGCAGCTCGACAAGGCAGGGCGGGAAACCGAAGGCAGTCTCCTGATTCTTTCCAGCGTAGAATCATGAGATCTACCCTAGGATAAGGCCAGGGAGGTCATCTAGTCCATCCCCACTTTAAAGCATTCTCAACATGCAACTGTTTAGCCTCTGTACGACACGCTGAATAAAAGGGAGCTTATTCCCTCTGTCATTTTTCCTACAAGATTGTGGGTTTTTCCCCCCCAACACTGAATTCGAATTGACTACTTTCACCCAGAATTCACCATTCCTCCTTCTAGAGCGACACAGAAGCAACCGGCTAGAAACCACTGGACAGACTACACGTAGTCCTTGCCTTATAACCATTCATTTAGTGATGGTTCAAAGTTACAACGGCACCGGAAAAAAGCGACTTACGACCGTTTCCCAGTTACGGCTGGTTGCAGCATCCCCACAGGGTCAGGGGATCAAAATCCGGACTCTCGGCAACTGTCTCGTATTTATGACGGTCGCAGTGTCCCCGGGTCACGTGATCCCTGGGTCACGTGATCCCTCACTTAACAACCATGTCACTAACTGAACAGCTTAACAACTGCGGAAAGCAAGGTCATAAAATGGGGCAAAGCTCATTTAACAACTGTCTCACTTGGCGACAGAATTTTTGGGCTCAACTGTGCTCGTAAGACGAGGACCGCCTGTGCCGTAAAAAGATTGCCATCGGGGCACATTTTAAAATTCGGGTGAGGTCGATCCTTCAACGCCGAGGTTCCCCGGAGAAGCAGGACGAAGCCGGTTCTTTGGGGTTGTAATTTTAGAGCTGTTCGAACTCAAGACTTACACGAAAGGCTGGGCCTCTTCCCGCTGCGTGTCGGAGGACGGGAATTTGAGCACCGCGGAGCGCCAGTCTCTCTGCCGCTGCAGGAAGCGGCATCATCTTCCAACCTGGAGCAAAGAAGAAGACAGAGTCGTAAACACCGGGGTCATTAAACTGTTATCACTAGCTGGATTCTTATCTTCCCAATTTCCTGTAATTGAGAAGAAGACAATTCTGAATTACGGATCAGTGCCCGGATCATGATGTTCTCTGCCGTTTTGCCTTTCCTTCCAAGTGGAACCAAAAGTTATACGGATCTCCCTGAGCGTGATGGCTGAGGATGATGGGAATAGAGGAGAGCCAGTTTGGAGCAGGGGTTCAGGGGCTGCCTAGAGACCAGGAGACGGTGAGTTCTAGTCCCGCTTTAGGCATGGAAGCCGGCTGGGTGACTTTGGGCCAATCGCCAGGAGACGGTGAGTTCTAGTCCCGCCTTAGGCATGGAAGCCGGCTGGGTGACTTTGGGCCAATTGCCAGGAGACAGTGAGTTCTAGTCCTGCCTTAGGTCTAGAAACTAGGTGAGCATGAAAGCTAGCTAGGTGACCTTGGGCCAATCAGCAGGAAATGGCGAATTCTAGTTCCACCTTGGGCATGGAAGCCAGCTGGATGACTTTGGGCCAATCACCAGGAGTCGATGAATTCTAGTTCCGCCTTAGGCATGGAAGCCGGCTGGGTGACTTTGGGCCAATCACCAGGAGACGGTGAGTTCTAGTTCTGCCTTAGGTCTACAAACTAGGTGAGCATCAAAGCTAGCTAGATGACCTTGGGCCAATCAGCAAGAAATGGTGAATTCTAGTTCCACCTTAGGCATGGAAGCCAGCTGGGAGACTTTGGGCCAATCACCAGGAGACAATGAATTCTAGTTCCGCCTTAGGCATGGAAGCTGGCTGGGTGACTTCGGGCCAATCGCCAGATGAATTCTAGTTCCGCCTTAGGCATGGAAGCCGGCTGGGTGACTTTGGGCCAATCACCAGGAGATGGTGAGTTCTAGTTCCACCTTAGGCATGGAAGCCAGCTGAGTGACTTTGGGCCAATCACCAGGAGACAATGAGTTCTAGTTCCGCTTTAGGAACCCAGCTGGGTGGTTTTGGGCCAATCACCAGGAGACGGTGAGTTCTAGGCCTGCCTCAGGCACAATGGATGGTTGGCTGACTTTGAGCCAATCACCCAGAGATGATGAGTCTTAGTCCCGCCTCAGGCATGAAGGATGGTTGAGTGTCTTTCGGCCAATCGCCAGGCGACGGTGAGTTCTAGTCCTGCCTTAGGCATGAAAACCAAGTGAGTGTCTTTGGGCCAGTCCCTCTCTCTCAGCCCAAGCCCACCTCACAGGGGGCTTGTTGTTGTGAGGAAAATAGGCAGAGGAAGGAGCATTATGGATGTTTGCCACCTTGGGTTATTTATACAAATAGTAAAGATGGGATATGAAAGCCAACAAACATAGAAGCAAGCAACCAACAAATAAATGATGTCGGATGGATCTGGAAACAACCTGGCTGATTTCTGCCTGCTGCCTCACAGCTGGCAGGAGAGTTGGCTCTTAGACCTTTCTCTCTTTTTTGTAAATATTCTATTAATTTCAAGTTTTACAATTGTAAGTACTTAATAAACAACTCGGCGCCTGCGTTCCTTTATCATTCTGTGGTATATATTAACTTTCACTCAAAATATCCACTACACCATCCAGTATTTCCATGATCTTCTCTTCTTCCAATAATAATAATAATGATGATGATGATGATGATGATGATGATGATGATGATGGAAGGGACCTTGGGGGTCATCTAGTCCAACCCCCTGCTCAGGCATTTTCCCCCACTATGCA